AGCAGGGGCGACGGGGCCGAGCAGGGGCGACGGGGATGGTAGGGGCGCGACGGGGCCTGGAGGGGCGTTACCAAGCCCAGGTAGGGGCGCGACGGGGCCTGGGGGGAGCGCAATGGGGCCCAGGAGGGGCGCTACGGGGCCTGGGAGGAGCGCGACTGGGCTAGGGAGGGGCGCGACGGGGCCTGGGAGGAGCGCAATGGGGCCCAGGAGGGGCGCTACGGGGCCTGGGAGGAGCGCGACGGGGCCCTGGAGGGGCGCTACCAGGCCCTGGAAGAGGCGCGACGGGGCCTGGAGGGGCGCTACGAAGCCCTGAAAGGGGCGCGACGGGGCCTGGAGGGGCGCTACGAAGCCCTGAAAGGGGCGCGACGGGGCCTGGAGGGGCGCTACGAAGCCCTGGAAGGGGCGCGACGGGGCCTGGGAGGAGCGCAATGGGGCCCAGGAGGGGCGCTACGAGGCCTGGGAGGAGCGCGACGGGGCCCAGAAAGGGGCGCAACGGGGCCCAGGAAGGGGCGCGACGGGGCTAGGGAGGGTCGCGACGGGGCTAGGGAGGGTCGCGACGGGGCTAGGAGCACGACGGGGCCCAGCTAAGGGGCGAGCGGAAGCGTGAGGGGGGGGGGGGGGGGGGATCCTACCTACGCGTGATACCATATCAAGCAGTGAAATTTATGAATAGAGAGAGAGAGTACACAAACATATACCTAACTGTTGTACTCTCTAGAAGATGACCCTATACAGTCTATACAAGCATGATAACTAAACATGTTTGACATGTTATTACTCTGATTAATTGATAACATGCGAGAAAATGCCAAGTAAATAGCAAGGCGAATGAATGTAGGAGGCTCTGACCCTCGCACCCCTTTGCGCTGAGCGTAGGAGGCCGCGAATGTGGGAGAGACACCCATATTCCACCCTTATGAATTTGAGAGGCTCCAAAAGTCTACTTTGATACAGTGTCCCTGTGCGAACTTTACAATACTACCGGTGTTATTACGATCAATGAACAATAAAGAGCCTATAATATATCCACAATTCGTAGAGATGATTACTACAAGCTCATCATTATAATGTATTTATCTATTTATCTATCGCTCGTGTAGCTATACACATTCAGTTTGGAGTGTTGCATTTATGTCAACTAGCGTCAGCAAATACATATTTCGCACGTCCACTCACGCTCCGCCTCAGCCCGATTCGCCGCGAATCGCGCCCCCCACCAGCATTTTCCGATTCGGCACGCGACACGAGGATGGACACCACGATCTAGCATTCAGCATGCTCTTTGGGGGACAGTCAACCACTCCGCGCCTCTCTCCGCAACCGCAGCGCAGCGCAATGTAGCGCCGTGTTTTGTCGTCTCAACTCGACTCCAGCCTCGACTATCGTCCTATTCACGAACTGTGATTCGCACACTATGCACTGGTGTCCGTATGGGGCAAGTCTTGCCTTGTCCTCCAAGAATCTGTCAACAGGGAAAACATTTATTCAAAAGAGGGCAGGGCAACGCTATGCACCCACGCCTCGCTAAGACACCATAGCATAACGGGGCTGGCCGCCCGCTCCACTCCCCCCCTGCCTCCTCCCGAGTAGCTTGTGCCAATTTTCGGCGGCGCCAGGAGGGATCCGTTTTCCGCCAGTTCCAAGTGCTCTCTAGTATGACTTAGGAATACGAGCCAGTAGAGGTACTGCGAGCTCCGAACGTCTGTTCGTCTCTGCTGCTTGGCGGATTCTACGTGACTGCATCAGACTTGTCAATGTCAAGGCACTGAGAGTACCGTACGCCTAGGCGCGCACTCGACACCCACTCGACACACTCGAGTGACGAGTGGTACCCTCCGCCTAGCCGCGCATTCCACGTCGCACGTTCCCTTGATTTCTCGATCTAAAGAAGCCCGTTGATTCCACATGGCGCGCCTCCTCTCGCGCCTCCCGCCATGGGCGCTAATTCTCCTCGTTAGCGCGGTGGTAATCTCAATCACAGTAGACGTCTCGTTAGGAGCATCCCCGTCAACGCGACCTGCCCCCAGCAGTTCTCGCGTGGAAGAATCCTCCTCCCCGACCTCCCGCTCATCTACCTCCCCCTCATCCACCTCACGCTCATCTCGCTCCCCCACTCCCTCACCCGCCCGCTCCTCCCGCTCCTCCCGCTCCTCTCGCTCCTCCCGCTCATCCCTCCCCTCGTCATCCGCGCGAAGCAGTCGGCGCAATCGGACCTCCGCGCCCTCCGCGCCTTCCCCCTCCCTCACCGCCTCCCGCTCATCCCGTTCCCGCTCCTCATCCTCCGCGCGGAGCAGTTCCCGTAAGCGATCTTCCGCACCCTCGGCGTCCACTGCGCCTCCCGCGCACTCAGCGCCTCCTGCGCACCCCGCGCCTTCCGCCTCCCCCTCCCCCTCTCCACCCCCCTCCCATTCCCCTTCCCCTTCCCCCGCGCGGAGAAGGTCAAGCGGAAGGCGCTCGAGCTCGCGCCCTGGCTCGAGCTCGAGCTCTGGCTCAACCTCGGGTTCTGGCTCAAGCTCAAACTCAGGCTCGGGCTTAGGCTCGGGCTCAAGTTCCAGCTCAAGCCCGGCAACACCGAGAAGAAGCAGAAGGAAGCCGCGCACGACAGACGAGGTAGTGGGAGGCGGGGCCGGGGGCGCAGGCGGGAGCGCGGGCGGCCAGCCGCAGACGACGCTGACGCTGCTGCCAGATAACCCGTACAAGGCAAAGTGCCTCGACGGCAGGTGAGCGACAGGGAGAACGAAAGGAGGAACTGGGAGAATGTGGGGGAAATGTAGGAAGAGAGGGAAGGAGGGGGCTGAAAGGGGATGAGGCGCAAAGTACAAGCGATGCGCGGAGCGCAACGCGACGCGAAAAGGACGAGCTATGATGCGTTCAGTAGTATGATTTCCAGAGTTTACGCGCGCATTGACGGGCTGTTGACTGGATTGACGAAAGATGTACTCATGCTCGCATCTTGGCGAAGAAAAGATCGTCTGGTAACCCGCCTGAAACCCGCGAGTTATAGCTCCGGCGCCTCGTGGGCCACTCCGCTGGCTGCGAAAACGGTTCTATTCGTAACACCTGTGCCTTTTTGTAGCTCCAAAAAGCCCCCACCCTTATCCCCTGGACACCCTTCGGAATATTCTCTCCTGCAACCTCCCAGACAGTGGACAACACCCTCTGATTTTCCCACTTACATATTCATATCCCGTCCTCTCCCCGTACCTACAATAATCTCCCATTCAACCTCCTTCCCCCGTGTCTTCCCCCCTCCTTTCCCACCTCTCACCCCCTCCCTCTCCCCCTCTTCCCCCCCTTTCCCCCCTTTCTCCTTCCCCCGCAGTCCCCCGGGGTACTATTTCCGCCAGGGCGTGGGCTCCGGTGCGAACAACTGGCTGATCGATCTCCCCGTGGGCGGGTGGTGCACCACCGTCCAGGAATGCGCCGAGCGCGCCAAGACGGAGTTCGGCTCCACGCGCCGCTGGCCCAAGGTGCTCGGGGGAGGCGCGGGCGCAGCCGCTTCTTCCGCCGTGGCGGAAGCCGTGTACCAACACTCAGTGGTGAGTGTGGCGCGCGGGGAGTAATTACGGCGCAGGGGGGAGGTGGGAATGGGTTGTTTGGGAATGGGGGGGAGAAGAAAGGGAGTAAAGAGCTTCCCAATTTCCACAATTCACCGTAACTGTTACAAACCTGGCAGTTTCCAAGACCGAGCACAGGCCTGCGCGCTTCCCCCCGCTCCCCCCTCGCGCAGGAGGCGGGGGGGCCAACCCCATCGTCGCGCAACATTCTGAGCACGGACCCGCGCGTGAGCCCGCGCATCCCCATTCTGTCCCCCTGTCGAACCTCCCCCCCCCCGTTTTCCCCCTCACCTTCCCCCCCCTCGCGCAGATGGCGGCGGGGGCAACCTCCTCGTCGCGCGGCATTCTGAGCACGGACCCGCGCGTGAACCCCACCTTCTACAACTGGAACCTCGTGCGCTTCGTGTACTGCGACGGGGGGGGTTACGCCGGTCGAGTGCGGTGGAAGTCGGTGAACAGGACCCAGATCGTGTATCTGGACGGGTGGAAAATCTCCAAGGCTATTTTTATGGGTGAGTCGTGTTGTGTAATCATAATCGTTGAAGAGTTATCAAAACATAATTGTTATCATTTGTTTCACGTGTACCGTTGACTTTCTTGCAGTGTAGTTCACGACAGTTCTTCTCAACCAACCAACCTTTCTCCGCGCAAATTCTCATCCCCCCAATCCCACCCGTCCCCCCGCCTCTCTTCCCCGCGCGCGCTGCAGATCTCCGCCTGCGGCGCGGGATGTCCTCGGCGGCGAAGATCATCATGTCGGGGAGCTCCGCGGGCGGGCAGGCGGTTGTGACGCTGTGCGACCAACTCGCGGAGATTGCGCCCGCCGCCACCACCAAGTGCCTCATGGACTCGGGCTTCTTCATTGGTCAGTGGAATCGCTCCCTGCCAACCCCTTTCCCCCCTCACTTCCCTCCCTCTCCCCCCGTCTTCCCCCCCTCTTCCCCTCCGCTCTCTCTTCCGTCTACCCACCACCACCGAGTGCCTCATGGACTCGGGCTTCTTTATGGTTAAGTGCCACGTGCGGTCAGTGTGCATGCTCTGTTTGCCTTGTTTCAGTTTTTCGCCTCCCAACTCTGTCCCTTCGCACCATCTCCTCCTCACAACGACCTGCCCCCTTCCCTCTCCTCTTCCCCCTTCCCCTCCCGCGCGTCTCCTCCCCCTCCATTCCGCCCATCCTCCCCCATTCCGCAGACTCCCCCGACCGCGCGGGGGTGTACACGTTCCGCGCCATGGCGCAGCGCCTGGTGGGGCTGCACCAGTCGCTGGGGAACCCGCGCTGCCAGCGAGGTGAGTGGGCACGGGGGGAACATGGGGAGGTTCTCATGTTATGATGACCCCATGTGTGCGGGTCGTTGGGCTTCCGGACTCGTTCTCCCATTATCAGCTTTATGGAAGCTATCCAGGTTTCAGGGACAATCGCAGCGCCCTACTCGCCTTAATTTCCACCATACAGTATTCACCCCCTTCCCTGCTCCCTGCCACTATTCCGCCCCTTCTCACTTGCTCCCCTTCCCCCCCCCCCCCTCCCCTTCCGCTCCGCACTCCAGCCTTCCCAGGTTTGGAAAGCTGGCGCTGCTTCTTCCCCCAGTACGCTCTCACCTACGTCGATTCGCCAATCTTCGTTCTCCAATCACTTTTCGACGTGCGAGCCCTCGCTCTGGGTAACCAGCTCCCTCAAGACATCGGGCAGGCCTCCGCTTGCCTAAGTGACATACTTAAAGCCGCTCCGCGGGCGGGGAGGGCGATAAAGTCTCGCGCTTACCGGAAGTCGCGAGTGGGGATGAGCCAAAAATGCCCAGCGGAAAGTGTCGCGGTTTTGAACGCGGGTTACGACGTCTACACCGCAGTACAGGGATTGATGGCGAAAAAGGCGAACCTCGCAGCTTTCCTACCTGGTAACTCGCAACACACGTACACGTTCAACCCGTCTTTCGAGTTTGTTGCGATAAACGGAACGACCGTGAAAGCTGCAGTGAACGATTGGGTGCAAGGCTCGGCGAGGTACGCGAGGCTTATATCTCCCTAACCATTAGGCTTGAGTTGAGAGGCCTATTTGAACACTCCTGATTTGATATGCGCTTGGGGGTATGTTCGTTGGGAATAGTTCTCTTTTGAAGGTTGATTTGTAGTTCGTATGCCTCTTGGAGGCAGGCTGGATTGGGTACATATCATTTTCCGCTTGGTTTTGACCTGCGTGAAGGTCAATCCTTTATGTGTATGGGTGTAGGCTGAGCTAGCTGCTCAGGTGGATAATTTTTTGGACAACTTTATTAAACAGTGAAATTGATGAATTGAGAGAGAGAGAGTACACAAACATATACCTAACAGTTGTACTCTCTAGAAGATGACCCTATACAGTCTATACAAGCATGATAACTAAACATGTTTGACACACCCCCTGGACTGCATAGGGGAATGTTCTAGACAAGCAGCTCAGGGTGGCACTACTAGTCCAGTCTCTGAGACAAGGGTCTAAAAGACCAGTCAGAAGGAGTACAGGCAAGGCAAGAACTAGTACAGGGCGGCACTACTAGTCCAACCACTGTAAGAGGACACAAGTCCAGTCTGAGTGTACACACAGATATATAGGACAGTACAAAGTCAAGGCCCGAGTAAGTGAGAGACTACAGGAACCAGACCAAGCTGTACACAGTGCCGCTGATGATCTTTAGGCGCAAGCGCCTTCGTAAAGATATCAGCTGTGTTGGCACCGGAGGCTAAGTGTACTACGCAAGCCTGGCGACGCTGCTGTAGCTCACGCAGGAGGAAGTACCGCAGCTGGATGTGCTTCGCTCTGCCCTCGAGTCGAGGCTCCTGACACAGGAGGATCATGGCCCTGTTGTCAGCGTACAGGACCGGGGCAGAGCTAGGCCGCTCACCTAAGTCAGTGAGCAAGAAGGTCAGCCAGCGGAGCTCCTGTGCCGCCATGGCACCGGCGTAGATCTCGGCCTCACAGCTAGACTGGGCAACAGACGAAGAGCGGGTAGCTCTCCACGAGACAGCACCTGAGCCAAGGCTAAAGCAGTAGCCCTGGGAAGACCTGAGCGTCTCGGCGTCGTCTGCCCAAGAAGCGTCTGTGTGTCCAGTAAGGACCACTGGCCTGCGTCCGCCTAGCACTAACCCCATGCCCGATGTACTTGCAAGATAACGCAAAACCCTCTTAGCGGCAGACCAGTGCTGAGGTCGGTGTCTGCCTGTGGCCACGAAACGAGCCAGGATGCTGAGAGGGTATGCGAGATCTGGGCGAGTGCAAGTCATAAGGTACATGAGGCAACCCACTAGCTCAGCGTAAGGACCACTGGGATCTACCGACTCCTCAGGAACTGGAGCGGAGAGTCTGTGGTCCAGAGGAAGAGGGGTGGGCTGTGCTGAGGAGAACTGAAGGCCGAACCTCTGAAGGACCTGGCGCACCAAGTGTGACTGAGTCAGGGTGATGGTGCGCGCGGCTCTGTCCCTGGAGATCTGCAAGCCAAGGTAACGGCGCAGCTCTCCAAGGTCAGTGCAGGTGTGTCTCTTCAGCAGCTCTGCCTTCACGGAGGCCAGTGCGTCCCTGTCAGCAGTGGCAAAGACCAGGTCGTCTACGTAGACGAGGATGTAGAACGGAGTCGAGCCAGCACGAACGAAGAGCGAGGGGTCTGCAGAGGACGGAAAGAACTGCAGGTCAGCAAGGGTAGCACGCAAAGTGTCGTGCCACTCACGAGGCGCCTGGCGCAGGCCGTAGACTGGCCGCCGCAGAAGCCACTGGGTCCCAGGGGGGAAGGTGCCAGTAAAGCCCTGAGGGCGACGCAGGTAGACCTGCTCGTGAAGGCTGCCCTGAAGAAAGGCAGTGGAGAAGTCGAGGGAGTGAAGCTCGTAGTCACGCTGAGCCGCTACGTGTAGCAGAACCCGAAGAGTAGTCATCTTCGGGGTAGGAGCGAAAGTCTGAAAGAAGTCCACCCCCTCGCGCTGACTGAAGCCTCTAGCCACGTAGCGCGCCTTGAACACAGGCGGCTCTCCAGGAGGGCGCTTCACCTTGAAGAGCCAGCGGCCATCGACCACGTTCACCCCAGGTGGGGGAACTGCGTCGACGAAGGTGCCGGTGGATCTCCAAGATGCCATCTCCTGCTCCATGGCAGCTATCCACTGAGAGGCCCAGGGTCCCGAAACCGCCTCAGCGTAAGTACGAGGGGTCGGGATGTCGAAAGCGTCTGGGTCACCCTCAGGGACTAGCAGCATGGAACAGAGATGGGGAGCAGCCTCGGACAGGAAAGCAAGCTCAAACTGGCGGTCCTCCAGGACGTCACTGCCGAGGGCAGGAGCACCCCCGACAGACGGAGGACAGGCAGGGTGAGAGACCAGAGCGGTGGCGTAGTCAAGGCGGCGGGTAGAGGCGAAGTCAGCGACCGCAGCGACGAGGGCGTCAAGACTCGACACTGGAACAGACGGGTCGGTAACAAGAGAGGCAAGGACCCGAGGAACAAGAGGACGAGCGGCACGAAAGTAGTCGGACAGAGGAGGAGACGCAACGACAAGAGAAGACGGAGGAGGAGACGGGAGGAGGGGAGGACGAGACGCGTGGGAACGGAGCAACATAGGGTGAGAGCGCGGGACAGGGGAGACAGGACGAGCACGAGCGGGGCGGCGAGACCAGACGTGTGAGGGCGGCGTCGGGTCAGGAGACAGAGGAGGGGACACAGGAGGGGAACGAGGGGGAAGACGAGCCGGGGACGAGTCTGGCAGAGGGAACACGGGGCCGTAGACGGGAAGAGGGGGAGACGGCAGGAGAGGAACAGGCGCAGGGTCAGGAGACGGGAGGCCGAGCAGACGGAGGGCGGTCACAGGCGGGGACTGCTGCTGCGGCGACACAACACCAACACCAGGGCCACAAGCTGCGCGACGGCTACCTCCCGAACCCTCCACACCTGCACCCCCAGAAGGGACACCCCCAGAGCCCGAAACCCCGCCAGCACCGGTACCACCCCCAGGCCCGCCGGGACAAGCCACGACAGGAGCCCCGGGACTAGTACCCACCTCAACGCCAGCACCCCCAGAGTCCACAAACGGCGGCAGGGACGACAGCGGCGGCGGCGGCGGCGGCTGCAGCGACGGCTGCAACGGCGGCGGCGGTGGAGACGACGGCTGCAGCAGCTGCGGCGACGGCGGCTGCGGAGGCGGGGGAGGAGGAGACACCGGGGGAGGGACAGACGGCGAGGACTGCACCGGAGGACTACCAGAGTCAGAAGACTCGACGACCGGGACGACCGACGGGAGGGGGGTGACGTGAGACACACCAGAGGGGGCCGGACGGGGGGGCGGGGGGGGGGAGGGGCAGGGACCACCGGGGAAGGAGTGACCAGGAACAGGGGGGGAGTAACCGGGGGACCACGGTGGGGGAAGCGGCGGTAGTAGGAGACGGACTCGTCAAAGGTGACGTCGCGAGAGTGAAAGAAGCGGTGAGACGGCGGGTGGTAGAAGTGCCAGTCGGACGCGTCAAGGGGGAAACCGAGGACGACGCAGGGGAGGGTGCGGGCAGTGAGCTTGTCCGTGCCAGAGGCACGAACGTGAGCAAGGCAGCCCCAGACGTGGAACGCAGACGCGTCACCAGGGGACCCGGTCCACAGAAGGGTCGGCGAAACCTGCGGCCGCTGGGGGTGCGGCCACAGGTTAAGCTGGTGAGCGGCGTAGCGCACGGCGAACGGCCACAGAAAATGGGGTGCACCGGCGTGGATCATGGAGGTGCGAGCCACCTCCATGACCAAACCGATGCGTCGCTCAGCGACCCCATTCTGCTGCGGGGAGTCCGGCAGGGTAAACGTCTGGGTGATGCCCTCCGCACGACAGAAGCGACCAAGGACACATGAGGCAAACTCGCCACCCCGGTCGGAGTGGAGGCGCAAGGCAGGGAGACCGCGGTGGACACGAGCAGAGACAAGCCAGGGGATGAGAACGTCAGGCACGTCGGCCTTCCGCTCCAGGGGGAAGACGGTGGTGTAGCGCGTGAAGTCGTCGACAAGCACTAGGAAGAAGCGCTCGCGACGCGGCCCATGGACCGGGGCTGGGCCCCAGACGTCCATGTGCAGAGTCTGCAGTGGTGCGGTGGTAGGGGGAAAAGAGGAGGAGTGAGGGGCACGGCGGAGCCGGCCCTCGACACAAGGCGTGCACGGTGGGGCGGGGGAGGAGGGAAAGTCGGGGAAAGAACCGGGGAGACCAAGGACGAGACCGTGCTGGGACATGTGACGCAGACGTGGGAGTGCAGGGTGACCAAGGCGGTGGTGCCAAAGGAGAGTCGGGTGAGTGAGGGACCGACAGGAGCACGCGGCAGCAACCTGGGTGGACGCAGCTACCGGGGGGGAAGACCCAGCCGGGGACGTCGCGGTGTCAAGTGTGAACAGGCCGGACACCGGGTCCCGGGGGAAAGTGGTAAGGGGGGCACCAGTGGCGGCCTCGGTACAGACAGCATACCGCTCGTGACCAGGGAACGTAGTGGTGACGCCAAGGTCCTGGAGGCAGCCGACACCAACTAGGTTCCTGGAGAACGAGGGGATATGCAGACCGGTGAGCGAACCTGAAGGAACCGCCGGACAGGGAAGGGAGGTGGAACTGCGGGCAACGACGGGACCACCGGAGGTGTCAGCAAGAGTAACGGCAGCGGGAACAGGCAGCGGCGTCAGCGTCGTGGAGTCGCGGAAGAAACACCGGGAGGCGCCAGAGTCCAAGGTGAAGGAAAGCGCAGCAGTCGCGTGAGGCGGCAGGGAAGCGGTGGAAGCACCAAGGCTAAGCAAAGCAGGAGATCCTACGCCTGACGCAGCAGGGGAGTCTACGCTAGGCACCGCTACACTAGGCAACACGGGGTAATAAGAGGGAAGCACACTAGAGTCATCAGCATACATCACATGCAAGGCTGCTACAATGGCATCCATGTCCAAGTCAAAAATCCTAATGCTACGCCTAAGCTAGCTGTGCCAGTCTGGGAGGTCGGGCGCCGGGCCAAAGCGCTGGCGGAACAGGTCGTCCAGACGACGAAAACAGCGAGGAGTAGAATGACCGATCTTACCGCAAACGAAGCCGCAGCGAGGACCGGTCTGGATCTGGTACTGACAGGGCCCGCCTCCAGAACCACCACCCGGTGCACCACCACGCGCACGACCACCACCAGCTCCAGGCCACCCAGGCGGGAGAGCACTCGCCGGCCTCGTCTGCGGCGGCTGCTGCGGCTGCTGCGAAGGCTGCGGCTGCGGCGACTGCTGCTGCTGCTGCTGCTGCTGCAACGGTGGAGGCGGCGGGGCAGCTGGAC